GCACTTGCCTCTGATACAATTGATGTGGGGAGACATTTTGTCTCCTGTATCTTGGTGTAGCACTGTAGGATAAGCACTAACCACAACGTTGGTGGTTCAGATCCACCAGGCACTCATCAGAAACTATACAGAGTCATTATGAGTTGGAACTGAGTCATAGCACTTAGCAACATCAACAACAAATGTAGGATTCAATTTTTGAGGACTGTATCTGGGAAGCGAACCGGAAGGTCAGCAGTTCGAAACTACCAGCTGCTCCGCGGGAGAAAGATGAGGCGATCTGCTCCCGTAAAGATTTACAGCCTCGGAAACCCTATTCAGGGTCGCTATGGGTCGAAACCGACTCGACGGCACTTAACAACAACAACAACAACATCTGGGAAGCAACATTTTATATAAAAGTACAGTCTCTAAGTGGAAATCACGTGTCTGTAAATGTCTTACACAGAGAAAGATGAGCCTTTCTGTTCTCATAAAGATTTACAGCCTCAGAAACCCTATGTAGGGTCACTATGAGACAGAACTGACTCATTGGCACACCACCACCACCACCACCAAGTGTCTTCGTTTTCTTTTGTGGCTACAACAAATGACCACAAACTTAGTGACTTAAAAAACCGTATATTAAAATACACAGTTCCTTCTAGTTATATACAAGAAGAACAAAGGATTTTTATATGTGTGTATAAATATATATAAAGTTTTTTGTTTTTATACTTTTCAGGAAACTAGGATATATATAATTTTTATTTATTTTGAAAATGCCTTCCCCATTACTCATGTGAACACGTGTCTATACTCTTTTGTTTGTTGTTAAGTGCCATTGAGTCGATTCCAACTCATAGTAACCCTGTATAGGGTTTCTGAAGAGAGGCTGGTGAGAATGAACCACCAAACCTTGCGTTTCAAACAGACCGTCCAGTCCATTGCATTAATCCACAGCACCACACCGAGAGTCTAGCCTCTAACCGGTGAATAAGTCTCCCTTCCCTCAAACCTCTGTTAGCCATCATAGAATGATTCTTTTAGCATGAAAATCTTTTCTTGACTTTTTACAACAGTGGTCCCAAACAATAGCTGCCCTTTTGTGATTGACTAATTTCACTCAGGAGTCCTGGTGGTGCTCTGGGATAGTTATTAAACTGCTAACTATAAGGTTGGTGGTTCAAACCCATGAGCTGCTCCTTGGAAATCCAAAACAGGGTTGCAATGAGTTCAAACCAACTGAACAGCACTTAAAAACAACAAATTTCACTCAGCATAATGTCTTCCAGGTTCATCCATATTATGAGGTGATTTTTCAGATTCCTCATTATGCTTCAATGTTGCATAGTATTCCATTTTGTGTATGTTGTTGTTGTTATGTGCCGTGGAGTCGGTTCCGACTCATAGCGACCCTATCAGGGTTTCCAAGGCTGTAAATCTTTATAGAAGCATAACGCCTCATCTTTCTCCCGCGGAACAGCTGGTAGTTTCGAACTGCTGACCTTGTGGTTTGCAGCCCAATTCATAATCACTACGCTACCAGAGTAGCACATGTTATTTTTAAATCTTAGTTCTCACAGTCAAAACTCTAAATAGACTGAAATCAAGGTGTCAGCAAGGCTGCATTGTCTTCTGGAGGATCTAGGAAGAAATCTCTTTGTCTTTACCAGCTTCTCGAGTTTACCTGCATTCATTCACGTGAGGCCCCCATTCCATTGTAAAACCAACAGTAGCTAGCTGAGCCTTTCTCACACTGTGTTTTCAACCCAATTCTATCAGCTACCTTAATTCAATGTAGCATAATCATAAATTCCAAGGATTAGCACATAAACATCTTTGGGAGATCATTGTTTGCTTACCATGTTACATTTATGGCAAAGTCATTGTGAGAAATTAGAGGGAACTTCTCTCAACTCTGGGATATAACAGCCCAAAGTAAAAGCAAAAGATATTGTGCACCCTGAATGAAAAGACATACAAAAACTGCTGAGCAGATAGATCTACTACTCTTAATTATGTATCTGACTCAGCTATTAGAAATAGAATGGTATGAGAGTTGGGAACAATAGAGAATTGAGGGAGGACAATCTTGTCAGTGACTCTTAAATCTTGTACAAAGCAAATTCCAAGCTCATTCATCTTTTTCATGAAACTAGTAGGATATTACAGGGAACAGCAAATCCTTTCTGAGCTGTGTGGATACAGTGCACTGCAGTTATTTAACAGTCTTCTTTTGGGGGCAATAAAACGTACAAAAAAGATGACTAATCTTTAAAAATAGGAGAGCTGGTAGTATAGCGGATTAGGAGCCCAACTGCTAACTGAAAGTTGGAATCTACCAATCGCTCAACAAGAGAGAAATAGGCTTTCTGCTCCCATAAAAATGTATACCCTTAGTGGCACACAGCGACCACCATTGCCATTCCCTAAAGAAGGGAGCATTCAGTTGGTGGTGGTGATGGTCATGTGCCATGGAGTAGATTCAAAGATGGGAATATCTAGATACAGACCTCTAAATGCTCAGTCTATTCTCTGAATCCCACATCTGTACATTCTTAGGCCGAGACTCTCAAAGACAGATTTGAGGTCTGAGGTGGTCACAGAGACATCAGGTGAATAGTAATCAATCCGTGCCATCATCGTAGTATAGATTTGAGATTCTTCTGGAAATTTCAGAAAGAGGTTCTTAAGCCCACATTTAATAGTAGTAGCCATTTACAAAGTATATCTCATCCCAAAATGTTTATAATAGTAGATTTACTAGACAGAATGGTGTGCTGATTTGAGAGAAAACAAAGAAAAAGACAAGGTTCCTGAGAAATACTTGAAATTTGTATCATTGAGGCATTTTTGGTTATACCTATGAAGGAATGCTAGAAAGGTGGATGGGTTTATGGTAGAGAGTGTAGCACAAACATCTGTTAGATATGAAACCTTCGGTTTATACCATTGCATGGAATTTCTCCCTCTTCAACTTTGTGTTAAGTACAGTTGTGAACAGACATTATAGCTAGTTTCACAGAGAGGACGTTCTGTCACAGTTCGTTCTTTTCCGTTCTAATTATTGTTATTGTTGAGTGCTGTTGATTCGGTTCCAACCCATAGCGACCCCGTATAGAGTTTCCAAGGAGCAGCTGGTGAGCTTGAACTGTCAACCTTGCAGTTCAAATGGCATTGCAGCCTGGCGCATTAACCCACAGCGTCACACCACTGGATTGTTAACCACAAGGTCAGTGGTTCAAACCCACCAGCTGTTCCATAGGTTGCTATGAGTCAGAACTGACTCAGTGGCACTTAGCAACAATAACTATTAAGGCAGACCAAGTGTTCTTTCAGTGACTCTTTTCCTTACAAAACCAACAGATGCCTTTGCATGGAGGTGGTCTTGTTCTTGGGTTTATCTAGTTACTTAATCTAAGTAGATTCTTTTGTTGTCTATTGTTTTTGTTGTGTTTTGTTTTGTCCCTGTTCAAAAGTATCTTCAAAGTTCTTAGCAAGGTCTTGTAGTTTAGTGAACAGACTTCCTGCTACACTCTCTTCTGGCTTTCAGGGGATTGAAATACCTTCCTGACCACTATTAAAGGTGACATATTTGTGATAGGAGTCCTGGTGTGACACTATGAGTTAATGCACTGGACTGCAAAATCATCTTGATTTGCAAGGTTTGTGGTTCAAGTTGTTGGCTGGTCCATCTTCAGGACTAGGGAGTCTTGAGGGTAGCAGGCTAGCATAACAAAGAATCTCAATGAAGGGGAGGAACTAGTTTGACTGGCTAGGAACTTTAAAATACGAATACACTCATCAAGGAAATAGGAGAAGTTGATGGGGAAAAGGGAGAAACTAACTTTAAATGGGAATGCTCCCAGTAAGGACTAATAGGTGACCTTGGGAAGAGATTGTGACCTTGTAATACCCAGTTAAAGGGGAATGGGAGGAGGGGCTTTTTCAAGACAGGGGAATGAAACTATTTGTAGGCTGGCCATGTAGCCCATCTGCCCTTGTCTATGTTTTGGATGCCTGATTTTGTAAAATCAAATAATGAAAACCTCACTCTCACTAAAATGACTACAGATGGGTTTATTTGAGTGTTTGTTGATATCCACAATGTTTCTCACAAAGTTCACCAGTTCCACCTTGGAAACCATATACAGGGGCGCTATGGGTCAGAACCAACTAGACAGCACATAACAGCAACAGCATATGTGATAAGGTGGCATCGTGTCATAGTGACTGAGGCACTTGTCTGCTAACTGAAAGGCAGGCAGATCAAATCCAGCCAGTGGCTCCATGGAAGGAAGGGCATGGTGATGTGTTTCAATAAATACCACAGCCTATAAACTAGCCTATTCTATCTACTCTATAGGGTTGCTATGAGTTGAAATCAACTCCTAATTCTAGTAATACTGATACTTATGGTAACGAACATGTAAATGTCATCCGAAATCAGGCCCAGATGTTTTCCCAGTTTATAGAACTAGATTTTTGACCAATGAATTTGGACAGAAAAGACCTCAAGGATACCTATGAGTATTTATCCTATTTTTTTTTTTTAAATACTGTGATGACACACCAAAGCATTCACCAATACAATAATTTCCATATTTATTATATAAACATTGTAGTTACCTTATTTTTATTACACTTAAACATACACACACATATACACACATAGCTAAGTCAAAAAGTATTGCTATAGAAATCTTTACTAAGCAAAAACAGCAATATGTGACATAGTCTCTACGTATACATTTCTGAATGTCTTAACTCTAAATTGGTATGTACATGCTCACACATTTATGTAACTTTAACACAAATATGTATACACACACACAAAAAAAAAAAAAAAAAACCTAAATGAAATTGTATTGAGATTTGGTAATTTCAAAATAACAATATTGTCTTCAGTAGTTTTTCTAGTCAGTTGGGGTCTGTAGGAAGATTATGATAAGATTTGGTTGTGAGTCACAGCTGATTTTTAAACCTGTGCAGTCATTGCTATTGTCCTAAATTGGCAGGTGAAGTATGCTGTCCAGATGAACAGCACAATCGGGTTTCTGTTGGCCCTGGCGACTCCTGCTGTGGCAGAATACCCTACTCCACCTCAGGACACTAGATTTGCTGTGCTGGGAGGCTCCACAATTGCCATGGGCAGCAGTGTTGTGGTGGACAGATTGTGAGCAGAGTATTAGAGTGCTGCAGCGGAGAGGACGAAGGTGTGGTGTACTTGCGCCTTCCAGGTAAGGAGTTCTTGTCAGCCTTTAAGTAAGTGAAGGAAAGGAAGAGCAGAGAGCAGCAGAGAGGGAGATATTAGCCCTTTATGTAAAGCAAATATTAAGCCCACTTTAATTAAGTTCAGTGTAACAGTTGGGTATGCATTATATAACAAATGCAAATTTCATCTCACATTTTTGATGTGTACTTTATGCATTTCATAAACACATATAGATCAAAATTAAAATGAAATCCCAAGAGGAACTTGGAAAATATATGTCCATGAAACACACACCCACACCGATGCAGTGGTTCTTGATCAAGATTATATTTCTTAGCAAATTTTAACAGCAGAAAAATGTATGGTACAGTGCCAATATACTTTTATTTGCCTATTCTGATATGAAACTTAAAAATGAAAACAAACAACCACAACAAGAAAACCCACTGCCTTTGGGTCAATTCTGACTCACGGTGAGTGACCATAAATATTATAAGTAGAGTTGCTCCATAGGGCTTTCGCCTTTCTCCCACAGGCTGATTGGGTTCCAACTACATATATATAGGTTAGTGGTTGATGCAAACTATTTGTACCACAACTAAGAGTAATATTACTTATTATTGATTGACCACTTACTACCTCTAATTGACACAGTGTCAAATTCTTCATAAATATTGTTTCAATTAATCTTTACAATAATCTCACAAGATAGATTCTATTATTATATACTTTTTTATGAATTAGGAAACTGAGCACAGAGATTAGAAGCTTGCCTGAGATCATATACATAGTCCGATTGAGAGTTTATGAAGTAAAATGTTTATATAATTTTCAGCTACTTCTTAAGAAAAGAATACTAATTATGGAAACAAAGCAAAATATACAAAGGAATGTTTATTTAGAATGGGAAAATGTAAAAACTGCAAAATTCTAAAAGCAGATAATCTCACTAACATAAAAGGTATCATATTTGTATTATGTAATTCCCAACATACTTCTACAGTGTTTCAGTCATTTCGCATTTTTATCTTATACACTTGATTTCCTCGTATCATATTCTTATAACAATATTTAGAATTATTGTCAAATTCAGAGAAATCTCTATCAAATTTATTTAAGATTTCAGTACATTTCAGTAACTTGTCTTCTTGAAATGACAGCATAAGTAGCAAGTTTTCTTGAATAACCTTTATGTATAACAGAATTTAAGTTTTTTATTAACCACAGATGTCAGTATTTTATGTGAAATCAGCAGAAAAATATTTTCCCAATGTACTTGTGAGTTACTCTTCTTCACAACTTGTATTATCAAACAATCAAATTGCTTATACATTGTTTGAATTCTATACTCATCATTTTTTAATAGTTCACGTATTTTAATTTTATCTGAAATTCATTTTGTTTCAATTTGCTTTTTGAAATCAGAATAGTTTTAATTGATTTCAGTGTTCAATTTTATAGCTTTTGCTATATATTGCATTGATTTTTCTATCTGGTCTTTCTCTTCATTTAAACCTTCCATTTTTATACATATAAAATTGTTGTTGTTGCCAAATGCTGTCAAGTCGGTTCTGACCCATAGGAATCGTGTATCAGGTTTCCTAGGAGTGACTGGTGAGCTTGATCTGCTGTCCTTGCAATTCAAACCAACATTGCAGTGCAGCCCATTAACCTACAGCGCCACACTAGGACTCCTATATACAAGTTGTTCTTGTTGGTAAGTGCCATCAAATCAGTTCTGATTCATAGTGACCCTGTACAGGGTTTCCAAGGAGCATGTAAACGGTCAACTTCTTATAGTTCACAATCTTGATGGTGGCTAGGGTGGAGGTGCAGTGAAGTTTGCTGTCAGTAATACCACAGAATACCAGGCAAAGCAGATACAGGGCAGAGCTCCAAAACTCGGAACCACATAGATAGGAATATTTTAAAAGTTTGAAGGCTTATAAATTGTGGAACTTGTAGATGAAGTAAAAAATTGCGTACTTTTGAATCTGCCGGGCTGGGCTTGGAGGCCTGGAGCTGACATCTTGGGTGAGACCAAATTGCAAGACCAAGTGAGGGAACAGAAACACCACAGAAAAACACCACGGAAACCACAGAGCAAAGGTGAACAATACACTTTGTCATTTTTGCTTTGTTCTGATTTTATTTTATTTTTTTTCTTTGGTATCTGGTCATTGGCGTGCCCACTCTTTGCCCACATCCATTTTGGTGACTAGAGGGGGAGCCTGAGCTAGTGAACACCTCCCCTCACCACTGGTGGGTTCTGTCACGCATGCACACAGATACTCAGCCCAAGAGCAGACCCTAAACGTTTTTTGTTTGGTTGGTTTTTGTTTTGTTTTTTAATACGGGCAAGGGCAGGACAGAGCTGTAGAGAGGGAAAGAGTTTAAAAACAAAACAGGCCAAAAATTAAATTAAAGCCTGAGGTATAGCATAACAACAAACACTGGCATCTTGAAATCTCTCAGGCAGCTTTGAAAACAAGAAGCTGAAGAAAGTCATACTCATATTAGGACATTAAAGTCATATTTGTATTAGGCTGCTTTTTTTTTTCCCTCTTCTCTCCGTCCTCTCCCTTTTCTGTGACTATAGACTGCAGTATTCAGTCTAGTTTTTGTTGCTGTTTTTTGGTGTGTTTTTGTCTCTTGTTTTTTTTTATTTTTCTGCTGGTGCTGTTTTGCTGTTATATGTTCCCCTTCTACCTTTGGAGGACTCTTTCTCTATATATTTTACACAAGAAGAGTCAGCAACTGCTGCCATATAGCCAAACTACAATCATGCTCTATAAAACACCCAAACCCAGGCAAGAACCAATACCAGCGGCCATATACCAGGGAGGCAGACAACACCTGTGAAAGTTACTCTGAGTTAAGCAATAAGAAGAGTGAAAAGGGAAGCCCACATACTGATCACATCTACCTGGAAGCAATCAGAAAGCATAAAAAAGACCAAAACACATACTCAGTTAAGTATTAAGGCCACAGATAAACATTAAACATGTCCAAGAAGCAAAAGCAGATGACCATATCAGCACATGTCCAGAAACAAGATAAAATGTCTGAGACAAATGACCTAGAGGTAGACCTGGACTCTATTCTGGAAGGAGGGCGGGCCTTGGAAATGCTTGAGAAGGAATTACAGTTGGCAATCCAGTGCTGATCCTACAGCACCACACCAGGAGTCCATATACAATTAGGAGTCTTTATTTATTTTTTTAATTTCTTCATCCTTCCAAATGGTAATTTGAAAAAAACAAAAACATATTCAAGGTTTAACAGAATTTTTAAGGAAGTGATTATATATATATATATATATATATATATATATATATATATATATATACATACATACATACATATATACTTAACCCAAATTAAACGTTTCCCCTTTAATCCTAAAAAAGTCCATGACCACTCCAACCCCAATCAAAAGGAGGGAAAGTAGGACAGAGGACAAATTAAAGGGGCAGGCCACAGCATCTTAACAAATTGTAGGTAAATATTATACTTTGAAAATTTTATTTGAAATAATAAGACTGCATGTGCTCTTGAAAGGTTACATGCAAGCAAAGAGCTCTGAAGTTAAAGTTTCATTAGTTTCATAGTAAATCTATCCCTGCAATTAGTAATGTTGATGCCCCAGTTCCAATCTTCAAGACACTGTAATACTTTGCTGAAAATGATTTATGAATTCGCTACCATCTTTCCATAATGTCTTCTCTTCCCAAAACCTAAGAACGAATTATTTATAATACACATAATGATTGCTGAAATTGAGTATCATAGTACATTGATAAATAACAATGTGCTTGTATATTCTAACACATACTTTTCTATGTAAACTCTGGTGAAAATCACTTAGAAAAATATTTCAATAACAAAATCAACCATCCGAATAATCAATACTTGGTGTGCCTGAATCTTGTTTCTAAATTAAAATACAAGATTGTCAGTTTTGTGAGAACAGTTAAATAACTCAGAATGTCAGATTAAGTTATTCACAATTAAGTTTCAATCCTCTCAATCTGAGAAAGGCTTGTCTTTCTCCTTTAAACAACACTCCCCCCCAAAAAAAATAAATCACAAAACTGTTAAGTCAAGTTTCCTGAAACCTACACTACATAGACAATATTCCATGTTCAGTCTTTGCCAAACTAAGTTCTGTATGCTTGGTATTTATTAACATGTTTAATCCTCACACACCCTATGAGATAGACACTATTATTGTTTTCTGTTTTACTTATGTAACAGAAGTTATATAACTGTTCCCAAATCACATAGCTAGTAAATGGTGATGTTACTTCAGGTAACACTAACTGTTATTCTAAATGAATCTCAAA